ATTTGTCCAAGTAAGGAATGATTATTACAGCCCTAGGTTCCTTACATTTATACAACATCTTTCATCTAGAAAGATTTCAAAATGTTTTAAAGGTCACATACAGAAAATTACTATATTCAGTACAGTCTCCTATCAAGAGTAACATAGTAATTTCTCAGTAGCCAAGCAACAATACAGAATTTAGGTTAGAAAGTAAATAAGAAAGCCATGTCCACAGGGAGAATTTAGATCCTCAGTGATGTTACCAAATTAAAGTCTAGCAACGGTTCTACAGTAAAAGGTACAGGGATTTCCAACTGGCAGATAAGATCTTAGTTTTACATCTGACTCATGGCACATCTAACTGGCACCACGCTGGGGCACCCCTTCAGTACTAATCCAAAGAAAAGAGTGCCACCTTGGGAATCAGTTACACCACTTCCTGCAGCATCCAGGATTTCTCTCGGACATCTCCCATCCAAGCACAGCCCAGTTTAACCATTCAAGGTGATACTGCCATGGACAAAGTTAATTTAACTCCATGATCCAATCTGCTTTGAAAATTCAGTCTGGAAGTATATTAAAATATAATCAAGAAGTCATAAGAGTTATTTCCACTAATCTTAACAATTCCACCAGTTGCTAAAGATCATAATCCGTGTCTAGCCTCTGGCATAAAAGATAATTCTTTCAGAGAGAAGAAATTATTCAACAGTGAAAACACCCACAAACCCTACCCTGCACCGGAAAATATTTCTGTAAAGTTAATTGTGCATGATTACTACAAAAAAATGCAACCGTTTTAATCAACTTTGCACCTAATTTCCAGTGGTCTTCAAAACCACTAAACTTGACTATGATTGCCTGTTTTTCCATCTGCAAATCGGGTCACATTTAGTGAATTTTAACATGCAGAAGCAGACATTAAACCATCCACCACAAAGAAAGAGATTTCTCTGAAATAAGAAAACAGTGTCTTATAGACAAAGCTCTCATCAGTAAAAAAACGCAGTGGAAATTTTTAAGTAAGAACCATTGCACACCAAGAACCATGCTGAGGCATCAACTCAATCTAACATTAAGCTTCAAAATGGAAGACTAGAAAAAAAAAAATACATTCACAGTGTCATCAAAACACCATAGTATTGTTACGTTGTATAGGCAGCACCAGCAAATGTTTTAACAAGGCCCCAATTTGGTCTTTTAGACTCAAGCTCCTTAAAAAAAAAAAAAAATGCACCCAAACGGCCTTTTGTGTCTCTCTGGCACCCTAATGATTCTCTCCATAGACACAAAGGTCTACTTACTAGCTCAAATCTAATTTCAGAATTGGAGCCTAAAACCTCAACCTGTATTTACCTCATGCCATGTGTAAATCCTGGACTTTGCAAACATGTGAAAATGCAACCCATTTAAACCTTATGGGAAAAAGAAACCCATAAACCTACTCAGCTACACATTGTTTCAGAGTTTAAGTAGAGAAACAAAAATCAATGTATCAAGAAAGCTCTGCATACCAGATCACTGTGGGGGAGAAAGTAGAAACAAACAAAAAAACCAAACAACAACAAAAGACATTTTGTTGCTAAAATATAAAAAAATTATGAAATATTCAAGTGGGGAAAAAAGAAGGCAATGATAATACTGGCTTCTCAGGACTGTTTATTTTTTCAACACTCTTTTTTGTTTTTTTTTTTTGTTTTAGTGCTTTTATCCAATTGAGTTTCCAACACAACAAAACATAATTTTAAACTGACTTTGCCTATCAAACTGACTGCAAGTTAAAGAGGCTTCATTCGTGCTGTTTCAAAGATTTTGCATTAATTCAGCAGTATTATTTTGCTGAGTATTACCAATCTGTACACATCTGTGACATAAACACAATGCCATTGTTATAACTCGAAACCACACTATAGGTGACAGATGCAATTCTTCTCAGCGCATTTACCTCACTGATTTCCTTGGTTTAAAAAAAAAAATAAAAATTTAAAAAAATCAACTAGTATTCAAAACTGAAGTCATGAGAAGTCCTTTCAACATTCATTCTGGTTTTCAGAAGTCTAGGAAATCAACTCTAGAAATAAAGGTGAATCTTTTTTGTCAAGTAATTGGACCCAACCTTGCACTTACAATTTCAAACACGTAACATTTGTTGCAAGTCACATTCAGCACTGCTTCGAACGATATCTAGAACGTAATTGCTGCTTTCGATAGGACTGCAACTTTTATTGCCACTTAAACTTCTCTTGCTGACGGGATTCACCCATAGGTATGATAACCATAACAAAGGATTCTTTAGCAACGCTCCCTTCAGTTAGCATGCAACGGCTACAAGTGCACTCCCGTCGGTTTTATAAAAAAAACTTCCATTCCCCAAGCATGCACGTTTAGGCCACAATACTGAAAAACACCGGCAGACACTGGAACCAGGTAATCCACCGCAAGCTTTGACGAGTTCACAGAGACAAGGTCCTCCTGGGAAGTCACGGATACGCAGGGTGGCACCTCCATACGATGCAATTCAGCTAATCAACAATTCCTCCCTAAAGAGCGAAGCGTTATTATCCACCCCTACAGCCCCGGAAACCTGCACAGTGATGCTCTGTGATGAAAAGCGAATAAAAAAGATAATAATAATAATAATAATCATTAATAATAATAATAAAAAAAAGGGGGGGAGTATTTATGAGGCAAAGTTAAACTCATAGAAAAAACGAGTTTAAAAAAAAAAAAGAAAAAAACATTAAAGGGTGAGCGCCTTAGCAGGCCCACCCCGGGGACGGCTCTTCTTCGTGCGAGGGGCACGGCCGCTCCGGGGTCGGGCTGCGCAGGCAATTCTGCCCTTCCTGGTATTTATTATTTCTGTTTCCACACACGCCGGCGCACCGCTCCTCGGCGTGGGCCACGTATTCC